ACTGAGAAAGATAGGTTCAATAATGTATACTGCATTGAAACAGATGAGGGAGAAAACTGTTTAAAAGGGATATGTGATTAGGTATTTTTGTCATGATGGGAGTCCAGAGCAAAGGCTGCATAGTGGAGTGGACCTGGAAGGTTGTTGTTGTTGTTATGTGCCATTGAGTCGTTTGCGACTCATAGCGACCATTTAAACACATATATAACTAAAACTTAATAGGTATACCAAAACCTAACATCCACTGTGTATGTCACACACTTTTACAACACTACATTCTATTACCTTAGTTATACTTTACAACACTTACTCACTACCTTCCAAACTAACTAATAGGAATTAATGGTGCACTATTTCACACACACAAAAAACTCCACAAACTGGGATTTACTCTAAAATAAATAGAACTTCCGCTAAGTAAATGGCAGAACTGAGAACTCCAGGGCAGATCTAAACTCTTACTCACTCAAGCTATAAAGTAAGGGACATGCGTTCAATATTTATATTAAAATAATTCTATTGTAGGGTGTAAGAAGTATAGTAAATTTAACCATCTTCTATAGAGCTTTTAAAAAATATTAGTCTAAAAAAAGGAAGAAGAAAACTTGGAATAGGGTAAGGTAACAATGGATACAAAGAAAAGGTACCCTTAGGAAGCTAAAGGGATGTTCTCCAAGATGTTACAAGCCATTTGAGCGACTACAGTAAAAGTCCGAGATACTGATCAGCTAGGATTTCCCCACGTATAGAACACAGCAGCTCTCAACCACACTGAGCCTGGGCGTAATGAAGCATAACACAGGCAGGAGACCAGGCATCAATCTCCCAGGTACCAACAGAAGCCTTATGAAAAAACATGCGCAAAGCAATTGGAGTAGCAGGCAGTGATGCAGAAGTGTCAGCGAGGTCAGCCTTCCAATCCATCTACTGAATATGAGCGTGCTAAAAATGAAATCAAATATTAGTGCCATCTGGGATTTTTCTGCTCTGTGCTTCTGGTGACCTCACTCCTTAGGAACCGGCTCTGTCGCATGCTGAAAAGCACAGCCACTTCCACAGAAGAGTTCTCCTATTCCTGATTAAAAATTACGGAGCTTCTTTGGAAAGAGAGAAGAGAAGAGACAAGGAGCTACAAATAAAATTCTCTTTACATCAAGCAAACAGAAAACACTTGACTCTTCCTTCCAGAGAGTCAGGCGTCGAAAAGACCATCAAGCCCATTTCCTCAGTCAGGAAGGGCTGTTGCTCACATTTCTCTGAGCATTGAGGTGATGCCATCCGGTATGAATTGTCCAATAACAGTGTCAGCCTCAAGGTCTTGACGAATTCATCATCCTGGAGTTTAATAAAAGTAGGTCTCCTTCAAGCAGAAACTCATGTAATTGGATCCCAAACAGATAAAACATAAAATTAATTAATTTTAGAAGCTGGCCTGAGACAGGTGGGGCACTGGTCTCTTGAAAGTAGACAAAGGGTGTACATATATAAGCCATGGATCATTCTTCTTTAACACAGTGGTCAACTAAATATAGATGGACTGGCTTTCCAGAAGGAAAACAAAACAAAACAAAACAAAACACCACAAACCTTAAAAGTAAACCAAAACCAAAACAAAAACCAAACCTAGGAGAGTCAGACATACAACTAATACTAAAACTCAAGCTCATTGCTGTCAAGTTGAAACCTATGCATAGCTGATTTTCCAGCTGGTTTTGTGAGGCTGTAAACTAATTGCATAGGAGGAGATTGTCCGTTCTTCTGCCATGGGGCCGCTGATGGGTTTGAACCACTGGAGAGGGGCTACCTTGGGTTAGCAATGAGACTCTGTATAAA